ACAATAGGACGAAATTTGAAATAACTAACAATCATCAAAACGGATGTAAGAATTCTCTGTGATAAGTACATCAAGATTTTTTTTTTTTAAAGATTTTATTTATTTATTTGAGAGAGAGAGAGAATGAGAGAGAGCGAGTACGAGAAGGGGGAGGGTCAGAGGGAGAAGCGGACTCTCTGCTGAGCAGGGAGCCCCATGTGGGACTCGATCCCAGGACTCCAGGATCATGACCTGAGCCGAAGGCAGTCACTTAACCAACTGAGCCACCCAGGCGCCCCAATCAAGATTTTTTCTTAACTGTCCTGTACCTTCAAGGGATATCAGATTTTTTAGTAAGCATATTTAAATCATTTCTATTAATGGCTCAAGAAAAATTAACTGTCTCATAGCATATCTACTGTTTTGACCACACGGTGGGTTTAATATCAAGGAACAAGTTGGTCCTTTAAGTGCGTAGACCCTGAAACATAAATTCTTACAAAGCACATATTTTGACGATTCTTATTTTAGGACTATAAGCAATACTTGCCAGTAAGTTTGGTAGTGCCTGGGTTTATTTCATGAGCTTGAATTCAGTACTGGAATTTATTGAGTGCTCCAAGTCCTTTTAAAAAATAAAAATGTAATGGTACCTAATCTCTGAATTTGTCAAGACATTTAAAATTGTATGAGCTGTCTGAAGAATTTATGGCCAAGTGCAGAGGCAAAATACTTCTAAGTCACATGTGTTCTTTCCTAACAGACAGCAAAGACAGGTTTGTCACTGTGACAGCACTTCGCTAGCATCGGAGTGTTAGACACAGCTCGATAAGATCATTCAAGCTGGCTGCAGGAAGTTGCGCTGAGAACAGGCTCGTATTAGCATTCTGATAACTGCATCAGAGAGGCTGGCCTCCCTGCAGCAGAGAGCCGGTCCTGCATCCACCCAAACAAAGAATTACATGGCAACAAAACTAACTACAGTGTGTGGGTGCCTCATGCAGGACGCTAGACAACTTCCTGATCGGTTCCTAACCAATAGCATAATCTGAGCAGACAAGTCACAGGAGATGCGAAACAACCACTATAGAGTTGGCAGCTTTCACGTTTCAGGGGCTCATTAAATGTGTTCAGAAAACGTTCCCCGGTGAGAGCAATGTTCTCTGAAAATAATGGGGTGAAATGAGAGTAAATGAGAGCATCAGACAGGCTAAGACAGAAAGACAGAGAAGGACAGAGAGAGCCACATGATAGAGAGACATGCCTGTCCTTCAAATTTCATAAACAAAAATCCAACACTTTACAAACATCTTTGATAGACAAAGAGAGCGTAAATAAAAGCACATTTTACTTTGGGGGAAGTACCAGTGAGAGAGTGTTTTCCAAAACTGGACTAAAAATTGCCAGAGAATGTCACAGAAACAGATGAGAGGGTGGATAACATACAAGTGCCTACAGCAGCCAGGACGGTCTGATCCCACAGAATGGCTGAACGATATTGACAGTTGAAGTCTGGCCATTCCAATACCGGGTACATTTCCTGCTTTCTCTATGCTAGCACTGCCCTCTTGTGATAAAAGGAGAGCATTGCAGGCATTGCAAAGTTGGAGGTCCACTCCAGCAACAAATTTTTCCTGGAATTAGTAAGAAAAAAGTACCAGAACCCCTGCTCTGTGGCAAGCTTTGCATTAAGTGGTTTATAGACTTTAACTCATTACGGTAGGAATTATTATCCCCAACTTATAGGTAATCTAACTTGCCTAGGTCACACAGCAATGAAGTAGCAGAGAGGATTTGAGAAGAGGTTTGATTTTAACCACTATGTTGCATTAGGTAAACACACTTTAAATAAGCATCTATTACAGAGAGGTAGAAGTTTTAATGAATTAATACACCATCTTATTCTCTGTTTCGTAGCATGGACTCCTAGTCACTAAGCAGCCATGAGAAATTCTCCTCTCACGTGACTGGAAAAATATACTTTTTGGGTGCAAAGATTAATTATTAAATCTAATATATTTCTAGGATTTAAATATTTACCCCCATGCCAAAAAAATTAAAAGCCATTCATTTATAAAATCTGCAGAGAAAAACAGGACGCTGTCTCTCTCTCTTTCTGAAATACACATACACACAGAGTTAAGTATGGTTGCCTATTTATTGCTTTTAAGTTTACTACTTACTGTGTATCACTTGTTCCAATGTTCACTTCTCACCCTGAATCCATTCAAATATTAATGAGATAAGAGTACACCCACAGCATTATTCATTCTAGTGGGAACGTAAAATCTCTAACTTTTAGGCCATTAAGTTAAATAGGTATCCAAGACAGGCAGGTTCTGGAGCACCAGAGTTCAGCTGTGGGCGTCTGAAGGCGTTTGTGTCCCAGTTAGGCTTAGGTAAGAGACTGAGTGTGGGGACAGGTATCAGTGGGAATGGGGAGGATTAGTCCTTGATAGGATTTGTGTTGCTAAGTGGAAATCTACATGAGCATGTGAGCCAGTTGGGATACCGTGGGCTGGTGGCGAGGTCTGTCGGCAGGTCCCCTTGCTGAGCACTCTGAATTTCAAGGGGTAAGACAAAGAATGGCCAAGGCAGAAAAAGTACCCGGAAAGTTGGAAGAAGTGCTTCTGACAATTACACATGGACATGGGGTACAAGTGTTTGGGGAGTAGGTTTTGTTTATGGAGTAGTGGAAGCAATATAATTTATAGGAAGATATTTCCAAGGACAGCAGTCTCTAAAAGTTCATCAAAATAACAGGAACAGAACAGTCTGTGTTTTTCCCAGAATTCTCAGCACAAACACAGTTTCAGGGCCACAGCAAAAGAAATGAAAGCAATGTAGCACCAGCTCCTCAAGGAAGGTCTCTGAGAGGTAGGGCCCATTATCTCTTTCTTCATCCAGAGACTTTTGTCTCTCCCCTCCAGTCCACGCTTGAAGCCCAGACTGGGGGGGGATTCACCTGGAGGGAAAGTAGGGAGGCAGGACAGTGTTGGCTTGGGGCTCTGGCGGGAAAGGCGTGTGTGAGAGAGAGAGAAGTTGGTTCCAACCAGCACTCAGTAGGATTTGATACCACTATCTGATATGTCCTGAGTCAGGAGCAGACCCACAGGGTGAGACAGAGTCTGTCTGCTAGGTCATGCCTCCCCAGCTGGCAGACTTGTGGTCTCTAAACTCACTGGGTGGGCCAGCTCCAAGCAAAACTGGGAGGTGAGCCATCCTCGCTCCCCAGAGTCCAACGGCTTTTTGTCTCTATCGTCCCCTCCCAGGAAAGGGCCTGAAGTTTACAGTACCATTTATATTTTAATACTTTTCCCAAATGTGGAATCAACAGCTTTCTTTGTCAGAATCTTAGGCACCAGTGATCCAAGGGGGGCAAAGAAGGATCTATATACCACCACCACCCACAGACACTAGAGGCTCTCAGGAGCAAGTGCCCTCTGAAGACCCCTTACAGACACCCAGGCAAATGGCCGCACATGCTGGCTAAAGGTAAGGATGGCAAGAGCAGGCCATGGATTGGGTAAGGAAGGCATGGTGATCTCCAGCTCTGTGGGTCACCACTATGTCATCCTGAGCAGACCACTCATTCACCTGGGGCTTGAGCAAGATACAACACAGTTGGGTCTGCCTACTAGGGTGGCTCAAACAAAACAATGTAAAGTGAAATGCTTTCTAAATGCTGAGAGTTACTACCACTATGCTTCTAGCATGTCACCAATGAGAAGTAAGTATGACCCTCAACATACAGTCCAAAGAATTCAAGAAGAATCTGGCAAACCAATCATAAAGAAGGCAAGAAGCTGTGTTTTTTTAACCTAGTGAGCAAAAAAGTATAAGGGAATGATGGAAAAGGAGAAAAAGTAGTATTATATTAAAGCAGGCAGAAAGGTAATATAAATTTATGGGCCAAATAAAGTATTTGTGCTCTTTGTATTCTTCAAATTTATGTGTAGTTTTATCTTCCTATCGCCATATAAAAGAAATAGGGTGATTTTGTTCAGAAAAAAAATTCCATCAAATCAATAATGCCTAATAAATGTATGACATAAAAATACTATATCAGAATCTGTGAAGGGTTTTCTTTCTTATTGCTCCTTATTTCAATTACTGGCATCACCACCTACCTCTTCCTCTGAGTCAGGATCCCCACTTCCCCTCAGCCCCCATACATCCCATCAACACAAACTCCAATCCTGTCACCTCCACCTTGTACATAGGGCCTTAATCTCCCTCCCATAGCATCCATACGTATCCATCCCACCCTCAAACCCAGAAACCTTTTTGAAGAGATGGGCCATGCTAACTGATGATCTAAAAGGTGGTGTAAAGAGGGCCCCGCATCCCAGCAGAGCTTGTCTAAGGTGGAGCAAACTCCTGCAAGATGGGCTTGGAGGTAAGACGTGTGGAGCTCTGAGCTGGAATTGGGCAGGTAGTTTCGGGAGCTATAGGGGAAAAGCTTCTCCCCACATTCATTATTACTTCTGGTTGGCACCTGTACAACCGTAATAGTCAAGAACTTGAGCCCCAGAACCACAAAGAACTCCTCTGATACCTAATGGCTGTGTGATCTTTATTTAGCATCTACCTGTAAAATGACACTAATAATAGCACTAATCGAGGAAGGGCCCTGTAGTTGAGTAGCCAATGAAATAATGCATGAAAAGTGCTTTTCACACAGCTACCTGTAGTGGGCGCTCCATTACCATGATCTATGTCTGCTCTTATTTCCACCGTTCCCGCTCAACTAACACCCCACTGAGGGTGGTAGAGGGTATCTCTGAAACTCAGAGATAAGTTTGGGAATTTATCACTACCATCTCTGACTTCTGACTCTCAGATGAGAAGAAAGGCACACAGGTCAGGGAGAGACTTGAATGAAAATGGAGGGGCAGGCTAGCAACAGCCCTACTCACTTAAAGATTTCACTCTTCTGTGCTGTTACCTCTTTTCTCTTTCCTTAATTCGCTCTTAGTCTCTTTTAACTTTTCTTCTTTTTCTTTTCCTGCCCTGCTTACCGTTTTTCCTGTGTGAACAACAGGAAGAACATGAAATTTGGAGTATGTCAGACCTGAATTTAAGTCTTCATTTGGCCACGTACATTTGTGTGGCCCGGGGAAAGTTACACCTAATGTCGCTGAGCCTTGTTTTCAAGCCCAGTTGTGAAATAGGGCATGAATGCCTAAAGATGATGCACACAGAATCCCTAGCAAGTAAGCTACAATGAAAGCACTTAGCAAAGTTGCTGCCGGTCTCTAGGGGTAGCAATTGTAGGCCTTCCCTTGCTTCTCTTCCCATGGCCCAAGCTCATTTCAGTCCCCATTGGGGTAGCTGATGGTTAATTTTATGTCAACTTGGCTTAACCAGGATAACCAGTTGCTTAGTCAAACATTAGCCTACATTTTGTTGTAATCTAAAGATACTGTTTAACATTTACAATCAGGAGACTTTAAGCAAAGCAGATTATCCTCCATAATGTGGGTCGGTTTCATCCAATCAAAGGACTTACTTAAGAGCAAACATGTTTCCCTTGAGGTTTCCCAAAGAAGATGGAATTCTGCTTCCAGATTGCAACACAGGAATTTTGCCTGGGTTTCCAGCTTTCAGACTCAAGACTGCAGCATCAAGTTTTGCCTGATCTTCACCCTGCACCATATGGATTTCAAACTTACCAGCCCCCATAATCACATAAGTCAATTCCTTAAAATATCTATCTATCAAAAAAAAAAAAATATCTATCTATCTATCTATCTATCTATCTATCTATCTATCTATCTATCTATGTATCACCTATCCATCCATCTTCTATTTGTTCTATTTCTCTGGAGAACTCTTAGAGACAGTACTATTCTGATTGGCTAACTCATCACCCTGATTTGGCCACGTCACTAGTGGGCAGAGATCCAGAGCCCATTACAAGGCCAGCACAGGTGGAAATGGCTTTTTTGTTTCTCCCTGTCAAACAGCTTGCCACGGGAGGAGATTCAGCCATCTTGCTCATTCTCTTTAGCTTCTTCCTCCCAGGGGGTGGCAACCATGTTCTGCAGGTGACCGTCTGAGCTGGCTGGACGGCTGGGCCCTCTGTGTTTCTCAGACTCCTCTCTGGAGGGTTGGAAGATATAGAAGTCAATGAGCTTTCTCATCTATATAGCTTAGTGATGTAAATCAGTCCAGAAAACCCTGGTTGGACAATGTGGGGTGATGTACACAGAGGAGGCAGTAAGCCAGCTTTGATATAAAGCTAAAATTCCTAACAACTTAAGACAAGACCAAGCTCAGCTTAGGAAAGTTCTTGGCATGGGTTTGAGGTCAAAACTACAGCTGAAGTTAAAGGTTTGTTAAGATTTTAAAAACCCCACAGCTAATAACAAAGTGTTACTCAGCTATTCTCTGCTTGGACCCCGTGGTGAGAGAGAATTGGTCCAGGGCTATATTCCAGGAGCCCCTGGCCAAATCCTATTTTAATACCATCAAAATCTCAGGCCAGCTTTGAACATTTGATGTCTCAGCACATCCATGCTGATGTTATTTACCATCCCTTAGGTACATCTGCTCTGTCTTTCTTCTTCTTCTCTTTCCTCCCTGTGTTTTCCTTCCCTTCTCCCTTTTCTCCCCTTTAATTCTCATCTTCCTCCCCTTTCCTCTCTTTCCTCACCTTCTTTTTTCAGTTCCTCCCCTCTCTCCATCATCACTCATTCAGGACCACCCAGAGGAGTGAGAAGAACCATCCTCTACTAGGTCCTGTCCCCTCCACACCTCCACACAGGTGAGACCTGGCTACAGTGAGCATCAGGAACAGCTCTGAGCAAGGAGCCCAAGGGTCCCCACCAGGACAGCAGTCTGCAGGTGGAAGGTGTGTGCAAAGAGACATGGTGAAATCTGAAAAGATGACAAATAGCAGAGAGAGGGAAGGTGCGGGAGTCACCACATTTCTTTTGAGTCAAAAGCACAGAGTAGTGCCTGAGAGGCTATGTTCAGGTGACTGACTTCTTGGGTTTGAATCTTGATTCCCCTAATTTCTAGGTTGTTATTTGGGGCAAGTTATTTAACCAGTCAGGGCCTTACTTCCTTACCCATAAAACAAGAACAGTAATATGACCTACCCTATAGGGTTGTTGTGAGGAATAAAGGAGTAAATAAATACCTTTTAGGTGCTTAGAACACCGCCCAGCACATGGCAGATACCCAAGAAATGCTAGCTTGTTCTCAGTTCCATTGAGAAACTAAGGCAGCTTACAAGAATAAAAAACTCACTTCTTACCTCAGCCCTCTGAACTCCAGGAGAAAACTGGCTCTGTGAGAGAGAAGAAGAGGGGTCGTCCCAACAATCTTGAAAGGCACAGATCCCAGGCAGTTTTTAATGTGACTTTCTATGCAGTGATCCACAGAAAAAGTATCTAAGTTACTTGGACTTGGGCACTGGCCTGAGACTGTAACCATCCATAACAATGGGAGTAACATTGGCAACTATATTCCAAATTCCAAATGCCCACTTTACCAACAATCTTTAGGATACTTTTCCATTTTTAGACGGTTGGCTTCCCATAGCTTCAATATGCACACATGTTCCTACAAAATTTAAATCTCAAATTTAGGGCATTATAAATGTTTCTCACATTTGAAGTGTGTTACATATGAAGAAGGCTCAGAACCACTGCCTTAAACATGGTATTTGGCTGCAGGGTATTTGTCCCTTTAACTGATTTATAAATTTTTCTTGATAATTCTTTCTGATGTTACAATTAGCCAATTCCATTCCTGCAGTTTTTATATGAATCCTGAATATGCAGATAGAAAGCTTGCACCATTTTCATACTGAGCTTGAAGGTGGCTTTTAGGGGCTGTCCTTTTGAGATTCAAGGTTTTTGGCTCCAAACATTTGGGCCCCATGGAATAAGGATGAGCAAGGTTCACTGCAGATATGAGTCTGGGTCCAATTTTAAATAGTCACAAATATTGTGGGGGGGGAAGGAGAAAGGAGACAAAATGAGTTTTATCTACTAGGATGCTAAGCTCCTCAGAGGTCACTAATGAAGATCAAGCAAGCAAGTTCCACACTTTAGAAAGAAAAGATATTATTGGCCCTTCCACATTTGATAAGATGAGGCAGAGAAACAGTGAGAGAGCATGATTTATAGGGAGAGTGCATCAACCACACTTCCCCTGCATCACTACAGTGCCTACAAGGCTGACGAGGGGACCACTTCGACAACAAAGAAAAGTCAGGATACCAGATGGAGGAAGGATCTGAGGACAAACCTAGAAAAACTTCTCTGTCCCCTTTGCTCGCATTTCAATTTATGCAACAGCAATTTATCACATTGCAATTGAATCGTTTGCATTTCCCAATAGATAGCAAGCTCCTGGAAGGCAGGCATCATGTTCTTGCCCTTCATGTTTCAACACCTGTCACCATTCTCAAACCATGGGAGACATGCAGTATGTATGTTTGTTGAGTAACTTAATAAAAGAATTCAACAAACACTTGTCTAACTCCTTCCTATGGAAAGAGGAGAGGAGTTTGAAAATGTAATTTTGATGGCATAAAAGATACAGACCTAATATGTCTGTAAAAATAATAATTATAAATCCTACTTAAAAAAAAAAAAAAGAATATGTTATCTTACCTGGTGACTGCTGGTCTCAGACACTTTAACATCCAAAGACCCTGCCAGGACAGCATACCAGTTTGTTCCAATATCACCCTGGCGAAATACTGAAAAAGAAACAGTAAGGTAAATACACCGAATATAAGTTGGTTTTACCGTACGACCACTGGTCATTATAAGCATGACCTGGATCTAGCAAAGCTCTCCACCTTTCCTCTATCTGTTTCCATAAAAGCATGACATATTGCTCTTTTCCCCTCTGTCAACAAAGCTATATCCTATTTATTCTATGAAGTGGAACTCTATTAAAGGGAACTCTTTTATATTTATAGAGTAGTAATAAGGGATGATAACCCTAAATGCTATAAGATACTTTGAATTTAAGAAGAATTCACTGATGTTTTATGTAATTTATCTTAAATATATTTCATAGTATTGTGATTCTTAGAAAGTAATTACTCTAGATGGGGTACATACTAACAAGGTTATTTGATTCAACAAAATACTAGTCTTCCACCCCAATTTCCTAAATCTACTTATATTAAAAGCAATGTATTTTTAGAATAGAATGTCCCCTTTTAAGCTCATCAATAAATGAGTAAGAAAAATAAAATCTGTTTTAAAAATTTTAACCAGTATTATCACTGTCCTTTTTCTTATTTGTTTTATAAATTCATTGCTTTTAGGCCTTAAGAGTTAACTACTCTTTGGAAATGACTCTCATCAGAAATTTCTGAACCTGATTTTGCTTCACTTTGGTAATCTCAGAGAGAAAACATTTAGGTATTTAGAGAGAACCTTAGTTCTCATATCATGTTAAGACCAGTACTTTGGAAAATCATTCTGAAACACTGGCTCAAAACTCTCATACAAATCTGACTATCCTTTTAAATATCTTGGCTAAATAAATAGATTGAATGACCTAATATTTTAAAATTCTTTTCACAATTAGAGTCAGAGATCAAGAGACTCAATATAAAATCACATGACAACCCAGTGAAACAGTTGAATTCTGGCAGGGTTAGTGCTCCCTGCCTATAAGAGCAAGCTTCTAGGAGCACAATAATGATGACAAGCTGCTCTAAACTCCCCAGGACATGCCGTGAAAAGGCAAGAAGAACAATGGCATCCCACACAGGTGCAGTAATAAGCTTAAGATGAGAGACTGATGAGTTTATAGCCGGCCTCTCCAGTAACTCTGCTATTCCTAGCCTTTGTAAGTGACTTAGTTTAGAGTTAGGGTTTTGCCTTTCATGAACTTCTTGGCCCGAAAAGACATCATCACCTGCCAATCAATTTTACATTACAAAATGAATCATGGAAGATTCATATTGAAAATGGCCTTAAGAAACAGAAAATAAGAGTCTCATCCACAAAAGAATGAAGTTTCTGATGTCAGTAAGAAAAAAATATATATTGGTTTGAAAACAATATGTATGGATGACTTTTAAATATAAGTATGACTATGTGTGTACACATGTAGGAATGTAGGAAGACATCTTGAAGGATATAAAGTGTTAATAGCAATTTCTGCATTTGGGGATAGTACATGATTTTTCTCTTGCTTGTCTTCCAAATTTTCTACAATTATATTTGACAGACCCTGTTGGTCTCCCACTCAGAATCATACACCCTCCTCCTCTTACCTAAGTTAACATAGATTTTATCAAGTTTCCACCCTCCTCCACAGGACTAAGAGCTCAGAGCATAGAGTTTCTTCCCTAGCTCCAGTGGAGTAATCATGATTGGTCCAAATCAATCATGGTGATCCCATTATCTTTGGCAGTGACTGGTTTAGATGCAGGTATGTGATGCAATTCTGGCTAATGAAATAGGAAGTCTGCTGGGGGACTTCTGAAAATATACACAAGATGAAATAGTCCTTCAGCAGGGTATCTTTGTATTGTCATGTGATGGGGCTCAGGGCAGGTTACCGCAAAATATGCCAAAGTGGTGTATTGATTATTTTGAATCAAAGTTACTTGAGAAACAGCCAGTGCAAGGACACTCTGACCCTCCTCTCTGTCCCCTGGAGAGCAGGAAGTAAGTCTCCCATGTGAAAGGAACCCTTCCTGCACCAAGATGTAGACATCATTATCACCAGACAGAGAATTCAAGGCCAAGAAGCTATATAAACAAACTCTGCTTAGTTTCTTCACTAATTAGTACCCAAGTTTAAGTTTCTTTGTCTTGTTGGTTTTCCACAAACTTATCGTTTCTTTATCTAAAAAGCATATAAACAGCCTGCTTCTTAGGTCCCATACCTATGAGATGACCATATGTATGAATAATGTATAAAATTTAATTTGATTTTTTTTTCTCCCATTAGTTTGTCTTATGTCAGTTTATTAGCCCAGCCAAAAGAACTAGGAGGGGTAGGGGGAAATTTTCCCCTCCTAACACATGTAATGCCTCTAATTGCTATAGCTGTCTTAGAATCACTTGGGTCAAGTCTGACAACAAAAGCCAACACCTGAGGATGCACAGCAAAACATATACAAAAACAAAATGGGAGAGACATGTGACCTTAGTAATGTCTTCAAGTCACTTAATTAACCAACTCTGAAGCCATCCTATCTCAAGACTTCTTGAATATGAGTAATTGATTTTTTCCCTCCTTATAGGAGTAATTGATATTCAAGCCAGTTGGGTGGGAGCTTTCTGTTATTGTATCATAAAAGTGTCCCAACAGATGGAAAAGCATTATTTTTTAATGAAAAAAAAACTTTAATGCAGTTGCCACCCTCTTGTTTTCTTTCCGTGCCCATTATTCACACCTGAAATAGATGATATCACTCAGGTTGATTCAAAACATTTCTATTAACATTCATTAAGAGTCCTTTTATCTTTATTTAATATCCTACTGACTCACATATTTCTTGGGGTAAAGAAAATATTTGAGTTTCTAAGGATTTAGCTGAATATATGAATCAGTACATCCTTCCAGTTCCATCTTCCAGGCTACCCTGGAAGAACATTTACATGCTGTGAACAAAGTCAAAGAAATCTATCTCCATGGGATAACTACAAATGATCACAAACCATACACGAAAATACACCACTGGAGTTACATTTCTTACATGTTATTCCTTTTTCCAGATTCTCGTAATAACCACATAAACAAATCTGATGAAGGAGATTTGGGTGAAATTTCTCAAAAGCTTTAACTTCTTTCAGCCTTGTGAATATTATATCCACATCTTCACTGGATCGTTCCAATGGTCTATAAAGGGGAGAAAAGGCACAAAAAGCTGTATCAATAAGGATTTACTTCAGTCAACATGCATTATGTTAATTACATTCAAATTTATGCAACCATCCCAATTGCAAGTATTTCATTGCAAACATTTATACACCTATCCCCATCACAGGTATTTCCAGGCTTTTGTCAACCATTCAGCTTAAGTCACAACTATTGCAGGTGGTGCAATACTCTGATTTATAGTAAGGAATGCATATTTGGTCTCTATCCACTGTGGATAGACACACAGCTCCTAAAACTCTTGTGATTTCCTATATAAAAGCCATAGGGGCATCTTTTGTTACAAAAGTTGATCTTCTGTCCTTAGTTCCTGAAGTATTTCAGAGACATAAAGGTAAAGTGGGTGTCTTGCTATTCATAACAAGACCCTCTCTTTACAACTGCATTTATGTTACTAAGGTAACTTTTGGAAAACCTTTAGTAACCTAAGGAGGGAGGCTTGTTGCCAAGGGAACCAACCATGTGATTAGAGGGTTGGAACTTTCAGCTCCACTTCCTAACCTCGGGGAGAAGTCTGGAGATTGAGTCAATCAGTGAAGGCCCATGATTTAATCAATCATGCCTACATAGTGAAGCCTCCATAAAAATTCCTGAACTATGGGATTCAGAGAACTTCCAGGTTGGTGAACATGTGAAGATTTGGGGCATGGCATGCTCAGAAAGAGCATGGAAGCTTCTGTACTCCATCCCATACCTTGCCCTATGCATCTCTTCTGTCTGGCTGTTCCTAAATTATATCCTTTTATATTAAAAAAAAAAAAAAGCAATCTAGTAAGTAAACTGTTCTCCTAGTTTCTGGTGAGCCACTCTAGCAAATTAATCAAATCTGAGGAGGAGGTGGTAGGAACCTCTTCGATTTATAGCCCATCAGAAGCACAGTGACAATCTGAACTTGTGATTGGCATCTGAGGCATGTACAATGGGGCAGTTTTGTGGGACCGAGCCCATAACCTGTGGGATTGGATGCTATCTCTAGGTAGACAGTGTCAGAATTGAATTGAATTGAGTTGAACTGTAGGAGATCCAGCCAGTGTCTCAAAATTGCTTGGTGTGGAAAACCCACAGGTCAGTGTCAGAGTGTTGGGTTACCACAGTAGTGGAGAGAGTGAAGGAAACACAGGAGGAGTGTTTCCTTTGCAGACGGCTAAAGCAGGAATCAGCGTCCAAGTCTTGGCCTGAAGTGGCCAATCAGATAAATCAAGTGGGTAAAAAGAGCAAAATATAAGGGGGAAAAAAAATCTCTCCTACATGAAAACAATGGTGAAATCACAAAGATGAATGAGAACTGATACTGAGCCTCAATGTGGGCAATACTAGAGGGAATGGTGGAGAGCAGAGTTAACTGCAAAGATGGGACTGTCTAAAAGGAGCAGGCCTTCTTTGGCTGTTATCCTTATTACTGGTTTTTTCTGTGGAAACATGGGCCCAGATGTTGTCATATCTTTCAATTGTTCAAGGAAAGATATCTAGATATTTTGTTCACATTCCTTAAACATTGTGTAGTTCACACAAATAACATCTATGGACTAGGTCCAACTTGTTGCCCACCATTTTGTATTCTCTGGATTAAGATGACAAACAAATATGGGACGGTTTTGCAGATTATATAACTGTTTCCTCTCTTTCCTTTGCTCAGTTTTCTAAGTCTATTCCTTCAATATGTTTTGCAGGATCATATGATGTTCCTTGATAGATATTTCACATTACACAGAAACTATCCAGCCTCATGTGTGCTCCCGAGGCTTCTGGGATCAGAAGAAATGAGCTGGTCAAAGACTTGACTGAGACAGTAATTCTCACTAAATATCCATGTGCTTCCCTAAATTTACCATCTTCCCTTGCAGTTATGTTGGAGCCATGCTGTGGCTAGTGGGCCATGAACAAAACTAGCATGTATCACTTCTGAAATGAGACTGTTAAAAGCCATGGGATGTCTTCTGTCTCTCTTTTCCTTAGCCACAACTTTGCAGTGTTATGGGTTGAATTGTGTCCCTCTCATAAAATATGTTGAAGTCCTAACATCTGATACCTGTGAATGTGACCTTATTTGGAAATAAGATCTTTGCAGATATAATCAACTTAATATGAGGTCATGCTGATTAGGGTGGGCCATAATCTAAGGACTGGTGTTCTTATAAAAAGAAGGAAATTGAGACACAGAGACACGGGGAAGATGGCTATGTGAAGGTAGAGGCAGAGATTGAAATGATGGATCTACAAGCCAAGGGACCCCAAGGACTGATGGAAACTACCAGAAGTTAGAAAGAAGCAAGGAAGGGTCCTCCTCTAGAGCCTTCAGAACATGGCCCTGCTGACACCTTGATTTTGGACTTCCGGTCTCCACAACTGTGAGAGAATGTATTTCTATTTTTTAAACCCACCTAGCTTATGGTATCTTGTTTGAGAGTCCTAGGAAATTAATTCAGAAGACATGTGTTTTAGATGCTATAGCCACAAGATGGAGACTGTGCAAGTGACAAATAAAACTCCATTGTGTGAAGTTACTGAGATTTGGTGTGTGTGTTTAGGGTTGGGGGATTGTTACCACCCCATCATTTAGCATCACCTAGACTAACACAGAGGTCAGGACTGGATGTGCCAGAGTCCCAAGAAACTTGGGACATTGTAGGAGGAAGATAGATCCCACCATGAGAGATGACCACTTCTGGAGGACAGGAGCAGATGACCTGTCACTAAGGGGAAGACCTAAACTCATGAAAGCTTACTTAAGAGGCTTTTCACCTATCCCCATGACATTTTCAGGCCCAAGATAATTAGACTCAAAGAGTATGCCTACAACCAACCTCCCAATAACCTCTACTGAAAGGACTTGGACCCCGTTTCCCAGGGAGGAGGAGGGGAAATCCTGATGCATTAGTGTCCAGTTTATGAGATAACCAAGTTCCCAAAGTAAAAGTTCCTTCACCAGGGAAGGTATAGCACATCAGGACCAGTGCCTCCTTCTACCTATTGGCTCTTTGTGAGGGCTTTATCAACTCCCTACCAGAAGGTATGTTCCCAAAGTGAAGGGGCTTTGAAACAGTGGCTACAACTTCAGCAGTTAATCAAGGGGTACAAACGACTTTCAGCAAGTATCCTTGTGTGCCCAATGAGAATGCATGTCACAGGCAGTGAGGGCAACCGGCAGAGGTGCCCCCTGGTGAGGAGTCATGCCAGCGGGGCACACCTGGTGGGAAGCAGTGTTGGCACCAGCAGGAAGTCACACTCAGCCCAGCAAGCAGCGTGTGAACTCCACGGGCTGCTGTCACAGCAGTGCTGGCACTAGCCTGCAGGCCCAAAGCAATGACAGCATTCAAATGGCCACGGGAGGAATCACAAGAACCACATGAGCTGGAAACTGACGGGGCATTGATATGGTAGATTCTACTTAGTTACAGAGGAAAAAAGGTAAGTGGAGATTAGAATCCACCTTCCGTCAAGAAGAAAAGCAGCATCCCATTTTGTGCACTCTCCCTGGCGTGTGTCCCATCTCAGGAAGGCAGACCAGGACAGCTTAAACACATTTTTGGGCCAACACCCTCCAGAAGAAATAGAAAGCAGCAGAAGAAAAACTTAGGTACTTCCATACAGTCCAAAACAAGCACAAAAGAACTTCAAGATTTGTAACCAGATTTTGTAAGGCCAAGTGACCAAAGACACTTGAAAAGACAAAGTTAATTTGAGATAACCAGGACAACTTTGAAACCTCTCTTCCTGATATTTTCTTTAGGCATCCCCAAATTAGGTCCTATTAATGTTGCCCACAGAAACAATGAAAAGCAATGTTTTATCTGTCATTGTTTTTACTGGGTACTTCCTGGAATGTGGAAAACTGCATTCAGCTATGAACTAACATCTTTACTATCCCACCTCTGTAATCTACCACTGGTGGGAGTCCTTCTGTTGTCCCTCTTCTCTTGTGAATCCACAATTTCCTAACGCCGCATGGATTCTCATCTCTGTGGAGGTCATGCCTACAACAAGTCCTTGGTGTGTGATGATGTTCTAGGGTGACCTCAAACTAACTCTTCTCTCCTACATTTGCTACTGCACCTGCACTCCTATTTGCATGCATGGAGCAGCCTCATCCTCACCTTCACCATACCCAGGTAATTCTACCTACTCAATGCCTCTCAAATCCATCCCCTCCTCTCAGCCTCTCCTGCCACTGCCTCAGTTGAGTGTGAATGAAGAGCACATGAAGCTTGTGTTGGGACATGAAGCTAAACAGCATGGCAGCCCTTCCTAGGAGGATGGAGAGCTTGGTTCCATTCTAGTAGCCAGCACAAGTATTTTAAGAAGGGTAGTGGCAGGGTTGGACGTGCATTTGAAAAGATCACCTTGGCAAGTCAAGGCAGATGTGAGGGAGTAAAGACCAGCAGGTAAGAGACCAGTTAGGAAGCTCTTACAGTGTTTCAAAATGATGATGTGGGCTTCTCTAATTATAACTCACTCTAGGATCCTTTCCATTCCCTTAATAACTATGTACAGCTAGTCCCCCAAGTAGAAATAAGTAAAAGCTCCAAGTTCAAAAGAAGTTCTTTTCCTTAGCCTGGCATGTGACACCCAGGGCTCATTTTTTTAAAATCTTGAAAGAAAGAAAGGAGAGAGCGAGAGAGAGAAAGAAAGAAAGAAAGAAAGAAAGAAAGAAAGAAAGAAAGAAAGAAAGAAAGAAAGAAAGAAAGAAAGAAAAAGAAAGAAAGATCCTCACTTTTAAAACACGCTCTTACAAAAGAAGACACTGTGGTAGGCAGGAATGTAGGGTGACCCCCAATGACCCACATCCTTGTACAATCCCCCCTGAGTACGGGCAGGAGCTGTAATTTGCTTCTGGTCAATAGAGCATGGCAAAAGTGTAAAGCTATCACTCCCATGATTATGTTATGATATATGGCAAAGGTAAAGAGATTTTGCAGATATAATGAAGGTCTCTAATCAGTTGACTTCAAGTTCATCAAAAG